TCTCATTTATCATCAATGGAAGCAGAAAATAACAATATTAAATGAAATTACCAAAATTTACCAGGGAAATCAAGGTGGTTCGTTTTTCAATTTTAAAATATTGTACATTGGGTACTGTTTCCCCACCAATGGAAGTGCACATCTATACAGCTTTCCAGAAAACAGACATAAAAATGCTCTACCCTCTGATTCAGTAATTTTACTTCTTAGGAATGTTTCATTCCCAAGAAAATAGACAGACGCATATAAAAAATGTTATGCAGAATTTCATTATAGGAAGGGGAGAGATGGTAGAAAACAGGGTCAGCCTAAGACTAACCCTCATGCCCCCAATAAAATCATTCTTAAAACACAGGGAATTCCAGCTCACAGGAAAAAAGTAAATTACCAACACTCTCCTCCCACTCTTTAAGAATATTTCAAATACCCTGACTGGGAATAAAGAAAGCATGGTATTTTTCAAGGGTTAGTCTCCACTGCCTTCAAATCCTTCCCTACTTGTTATCGTTCTGAATTTTTTGAAAGGCAATATGGCTTCTCCAAGTGCAGAACAGACAACAAGCTTTCAAAGTACAGCTCAGTAGGAATGAAATGTGAGCACTAGTGTACCGCAGAAAACCTGTATGCAAGTAGACAGCTAGAATTTTCCTCTCCTTTTTAAATGATGAATAACAACAAATGATGCAAAAATACTACCTTCCATTTAAGTTGTATTCCTTTTGTGGAGCTCAAGAAAGATACAGAGGATTCTGAAATCAAAGATGAGCATCAGCTAGAGAAGAAATGAGTCTGGTTGTGAACCCTGAGTGAGCCAGTTAGCTCTGTCATCTGCTGTCACTAGAGTGTAGTCACTAACCTGAACCACCTTCTCAAATGCAGACTGACAGTCACAAGTGGGGTTTGGAGTAGCAGGTCTTCCAATAAGACATTCAAAGAGTAAGTTTTACTGACAATGTCATCTATGTAATACATATAGACAACTTGTCTTTGCTGTTAAGGTAAGTAAACAATGTTTCAAAAACTCTGCATACCCAAACAACCATCAGATGTCCTATTATGAAACTCCTACATGAAAATTCAGTTCTACTAAACTCCACTGGCAAGGATTACAGTAACAGTGAGATTCTTACTACATCTTAACTCTATCTGAACCCAATCTTTAACACTCAAATTAAGGAAAATTAAATATTAAATATTTTCAGAATATAATCAACTATTTCTTAAGTAATATTGTTTAATGGATCCCAAAAGTAAATTCAAAACCAGCTTATTCCAATCTGCTAGACCTAAAGCCCTGTCCAAAGTCCTGGGAAGGCTTTTTCCCAAAACAACTTAGTTGCAATGTGAATACTGAAAACTACTCCAAGAGAAACCTTACAGCTGGTGAATGGCCTCCAACCAAGCCTCCTACCCCCACCCCATCGTCCTTAAGCATAATGTCCCTAAAGCCTACCTCTCATCTTCTAGCCTCTGCAACCTTGTCTTCTGAACCAAGTCCTTAGACTAGCAGTTAACTTAGGGCCCATGGCACTTGGGTAGAGTCAGTGAACTTGAATGGGAATTTTAATTATATTTAAATCCTTCATTTTCACTAACCTCTTGCCTATATTTAAAAATGCATTTTCTTATATAGCCCAGGTTTGATTTAATATTCTGATAATTGTATTTCAATATAATTGATTTCCTTTGCAATCCTATTTATTTCTACTTCATTTAAAAGCAGTATTTTGATAAGAAGTCCATAGGTTCCACCAGACTACCAACAGGGCCTATGACCTAAAATCCAATTATAACCTCTGCCCCAGATACCCATCCTCAGAATATAATGTTCTCCTACTGTCATCCCAAAAGTACTTGGCTCTGTGCTCTCTCTGCAGACACATCCCTTAGTCCAGACGCATCATCTCCCTGCCAGTTTCCTCACTGGAGTGCCTACTCCAAAAGAGACTGAATTCTACTACCAATTTTCTTCTTTCCCTGGAAAAACTTCCCTACTGCCTCTCCCATGTTGTACACCAGGGTTGGTATGCATGTCTCATCAGGATACAATAAAAATGATGGGACGTCACTTCCTAAGTAGGTTATATATAAAAGACACTGCCGCTTCCATTTGCATCATTCTCTCAAACTCTCTCTCCTTCTTGCTTTAGTTGAAACCAACTGCCACATCACGAGCAAACCCATGGAGGGGCCTACGTTGACAAGGATTTGAAGCCTCCTGCCAACAGCCATGTGAGTGCACTAAGAACCAGATTCTCCAGCCCCAGACGAGACTTGACGACTGCAGCCCTAGCAGCTTGTCTATAACCTCATGAGACCTGTAGTCAAAACCATTCAGCTAAGCTGCTCTCAGATTCCTTACCCTGAGAAACTGTGTAAGATAAGTTTTTGCTGCCTAAAACTGCTAAGTTTTGAGGTGATTTGCTAAGTAGTAAATAATGTATGAACAGTAAATAATAAATACACTGGGGTTCTTACTGTCTTCCTACTCTCTGTTAGTCCCCAGATCGCTCGTAGGAAGCCAGTGATTTATGCCAACCCCTCCAGAACCTTCACATAGTCCTCTACCAGACTAGAGGGGAACGTATGAATCACCTAGACTTGAGCCTTGGTTCACAGTTGCCTTCTCTATCCTACCTCCTGCCACCAACAGCAACTACAGGACCACATACACAAACGGAGCCAAACTCAGATGCTTCAGAAACTCCCTATGTTTGTTTGATCCCATGTTCCTGAACACTGGTCCCTCTAATCACACTGCTGTTTTCCCAACAGTCCCTTCTCCCTTAGCCTCAGTAAACCTGTTCTCTGTTTTCATTATGGCTCTCTCTCAAGCCATCCCCACCCTCCTCTAGGCCTAGGGTCTCTCAGGTGGCCGTGACTTCACTGGACTCTCACCAACTGAACGCAATGGCTAGCCAACTCATCATGCCTTCACCCAGTCTTCCTAGCTCTTAATCCCTCCCAGGGCTTTGTACATGATGGTTCTCAAATACTGGCAGATATGAATATGCAGATACACATAAAGCATACACAGATGTTTACTGAATCCACATTCTAAATCCACAATTGACATGACAAATGACAATGACTGTGCACTTTTACCCTATTTCTCTTACCATTAAAAAATTAAGTGAATAATATAGTCACATCCTGAAAAACTCATTTTGTAACTTCTGCCTGCTTACCTAAGCCAGAAAGCTCAGAATCAGCTCTGATGGGTATCTCACCATTGCCCCCAAGGCTTAATCCTGACTGCATGGCCCTCACCTCCCTCAAGTCAGCCCACTTCTTCTCATTTCTCCTGCCACTACTGTTCTGGCCGAGTTCTTGCCAGCATCACTGTCGTATCCTCCTAGCCATGCCTGACCTTCTCCAATCTGCAGCAGCCAGAACCCACTTCCTGTCACCCCCTGGACCACTCTACCTAACACTGTCCAAAGCCTATTTACATCTCTTGGAATAATCTTCATATTGCTTGACCGAGAAGGTCCTTCATAACCACCCCCACTTCTCTCTTAGGCTTCCCCCTCTTAGTTCCCAGCCACCATCACAACCATGCTGAGTTACTTCCAAGTTCCTAAATTCACCACAAATACCACCACCCCTGGCCTATGAATAAGTGATTTCCACTAAAATGTTACCTGCTCTTGGTAACAATATGAGATATCGCAAAACACTTTCTCAGATATTCCCACAGCACCTGAACTTACATCTGTGAGAGCACAGAGAATTATCGGTTTCTTTCTCTACTTTTCTGGAGACTGACTGAAGAGGCCAAAGTCTATCTCTTTTTAGCACAGTGCCCAACACACAGTAGGTAGCCAATAAATATTTGTTCAGTTGATTGAATGAATGACCTATATATCCCAGGTCTTTAAAAATCAAACATGATTTAAATATTAGGGAAAAACATCCTATTTTTAAGTATACCCTTAAGAATCATATGCTGTTGAAGTCTCAAGTTTAATGTAATTTTATGAAAGGGTGTAGAAGAATCAAACTGTTCAGAACTGTTTGGAGAAACATTTTAACATCAAAAATGACAATTAAGGAACACACTTCCTTCATATAAAAGACTGTTTAGCCAAAATGCCACACTTACCTCCGTAAGCAATATTGCTAGCATATCCTGCCTCTGGAAACGTATGGCCAGATGTACCAGCGTATAGCCGACATCAAAAGCCGAAGGACGGCTCAGCAAGCGCACTTCATCTGCGGTGAGCTGACGTGCGATGTCTCCTCCTGATGACTTGTATGCTTCTATAGCAGCTAAGTCACCTTCTACAACCCCTAAAATAACAATCAAATAGAAAAGAGTTTAATTCTATTTTTCTTCCGAAAGCACAAACTTGTAGCATTCACTCTAAATTCTGTTTCTCTGTGCTTCCTGGATTCTGGAGCATCATTTAAACATCCTAAAGAATATAAGGAAAATTAGTGTACTTCTCTCCCTTTAATTTCTGTCAGCACTAGAACTGCTTAGTTAGGTACTTACCTTCACATCAGTGCTGGCTCCAGTGCTCTGGTAGGGCTTACAGGAATTATTAGAATATATTAATTGTCACAAAGATCAGTAATACAGTATGACAAATTAGACTTCAGTCTTCCTTATATCCATTCAGTAAAACTTGAACCAGATGACTCTGAACAAAAATATGCTAAAATAAAACACTACAAACCAGTTGAGGGTGGAGAGATAAAACAAGTACTTTTTCCAAAACCATAAAGAACTTTCATTCCCACTGAACCATGTTATTAATCTTAACACAAACTGATGTTAAATTAAGACAGTAATCCTATTTACTAAGCAGTACAATACATCTATGGATAATAAACAAATAGCCTTGGCAAAAAAATGAAAAGTACAGATTCAAATTTACCACAGTGTTAAAAAATACAACACACATACAACCAAAACTGTAGGAACAAATCATTTTAAGTATTTCCTAAGTTATATCAGGAAAAATTTGTTGCGTGAAATACTAACACTAGCTAAAAATATTCTTAGTGTACTTTAAAAAAAAGCCTTTTTCTTGGGGTGGATTAATGATTGTGCATTGAGTCCCCTGTACAGAATTTTATTGTTGTTAACTGTTAATAACCATTTGATCAATAAATATGAGAGATGCCCTCTCAAAAAAAAAAAAAGCCTTTTTAATTGCCATCTTGACCTATGAATTAAATTAGCTATTCCTTAGAGTATAACAGATTGGCACAATGCAGCATTTCCCCCACTCATTAAAATAGCAAAGCTTTAAAATGGTAGTTTTATTTCCACATTCATTGAATGTGCAATAACGTGCAGAGCACTATTCTAGGCAACGTGAGAAACAAGGACTGTTAAAAACATGACATGACTCCTATACTTAAAATAGTCCTTCTCATCACATTTGTGAGCCTTTATAAAAGGTCAGCTTCAAAAGTGTTCAAACTCTGGGGTCAAGGATCTGTTCTGCAAATCTCGATCCTTTCCCCAGTAAAATGCCTCCCTGCCCCTGACAAATAACATGTTTCAAATTAAGAATCAATGACATTAAATGAGAACACCTTCTTACAGGAATTTCTATTTTCATAGAAATTTAAGCTAATGCATGCCTCAATATAAACATCCAAGTACAGCTGTATGTAACTAACCCTCACCAACATATAAAGGGCTTTAAAACACCCTTCTGAGGCATTGTACCCTGGAAAAGTCATCAAGAGCTACATTGGCTCGCATGAGACCAGCGGGATGCAACTCCTCAAAGGGCAAGTCTTAAGAAAAGACACAGAAAAGTACTACCTGAAATAACAACAAATCTAAAGAACTCTAAATTTCTGCTTAACTCGCTTTAATGGACAGCTGAGAATAATCTACTAGGACTCTATTTTTGAATAAAGTTTTTTTTCAGAACTGAATAGGCCCCCACTCCACTTACTTTGTGTATACAGTATTTCCTTACAAAAGCAACTAGTTTTCATTTAGTCCTATCAAAGCTGTAACTATTGCCTGCAGAGGTACACACAACATCACTGCACCTTTCATAGTTTTTAGCTTTAACCTAAAAATACATACACTTAGAACATTTCTTTGTGTGACGTAAGAAGCACTTCCAAAAGCAACCCAAGGACCAAAAAGTGATCAGTTTACCTGAAAAGATAAAGAAGACCTGTGCAGTGTATGTGTACGTATCTGTACTTTTATACATACATATTATTTTTTGTTTCCCAAAGACAAAGATAAAGTAATCTAAAGCTAAACCATCAACTACTTTTGTTCCTTTCATTGCAAGGAGAGATCTTCTAACTCTTCACCATTTTTAGCCTACTCACTATATTGATGATGTCTGGAAGAATCTCATCTTAGAAATTCTTAAGATTTCATTTCTTCTCTAATATTTCTGAGGCAGTTCTGCAATTAGAAACTAATTAGCACAATCAAAAGAGGGTAAGTGGTGTAGACAAATAGTTAAACGAAGTTAGCAGAGGGTGCTTTGTAATTATCATCTACAATGTCACCAGTCTGCCTTCCAATTAAGGGTTTTTTAAAAATAAACAATCTCAAATGGTGAATGTGAATTGTATCTCAATAAAGTTCACACACACACACAATTTCTATTTGGCCTAATCCAAAAATGCCAAGAACAATTACTTCCCCTGACCCAAGCTCTGAATTAAACTGCAAACAGGGCATGGCATGCTGCCTGCTCCCTACCATGGGGTAAACACGGGAGGGCAGAAAATGAGGATGAACAGAATAGACTCTATTTTCTATTCTTCACTGCACAAAATTTTCCAAATTTTCCAGAACATGAAAAACACAGATTTAAGTATAGGCACAAAGTACTATGTGAAAGAAAAGCATTTTATTGTCTAATGTTATGGGAATACATAACTCCATTCATTAACCATAATTAGGAGTTCACGGTTTCCCCTACCTGTGAGTTTTCAGTTACAAAGATGAGTAAATTTGTTACACATCAAATTTCATGAGAATGTCCCTGAACTGTCCAAATTTTTGGTGTATCTTTACTATACACTGCTCAAGGAGAGCTATGGATTAGTTCAGACAACTTCTTGATACATGGGTTTTCATTGTAAACCTGGTATCTAAAAGGATTTGGCCCATACTCAAATAATCAAAAGTTTTAGCCACTATGTTTTTTTATGTGGGGTGGGGGTGGGGAAGCATCACATTACATGCAAAATAATTTACAAAATGCCTTTGAGGTCTTCACGTAACATTACATTTTTACAACCTTTTAATAGGGATAAAAGAGAAGAAGACAGAAGAGTTGGTAGATAGGAATAGACAACAAATTTTGCTAAGCAGTAAATTTCACTTCATGTAACAGTGCAAAAAAAACAGTAAATTCCAATAGAGAAAGGTGACACACACAGTTTTTCTAGGTTATTATTTCACAGTGCCTCCAAGAGTGACCAACGCATCCTTCTCTCAGTATATAACAAACATATGTTGCACATTCTGTCCCTTCTTCCCCCATACTATGAAGGCAGTGCCCCCAGGACATCTGAGGGCACTCTGAGATGATTAACTTGATAAAACTAATTTGCAGTACCATCATACTTTCAAAATTGATTTAATGAAATACACAACTAGCTAAAGCAGTGGTGCATAATTACAGATAAAGGAAAGTGTTAATATACTTTTAAAAACATGGAGACCTGAGAGTAAATGAAAGCTACTGTGTAATACAAACTACATTATTTTAAAAAACCTCAAATCGTTCTGCAATCTGGGCCAGGAATACAATTTACCGTATTTTGAAGCCACAGGTCACAACCCACCGGGGATTTCACAGCTACTATGGAACTCCGTTGGTTAGAATATGGAGCTGGCTTATGATGTTTAGAAAACAGATTTATTTTTTTCCCCCATGTATGGCACAGTTTTCAAAGTTTTGCCTTATTTTTTTTAATGACATAAAATCATAATGGTAACTAACTTTGAAAAGAATGCCAAATGGTAAAAAAAAAAGCCAGGACTTACCTGAGCCCACATGGGCCAGCTCAACACTACCCTGGAGTTCTATGGTAGCTGTGACATCACAGCATGGTTTATGCTGTGGGGTCAGGGTGGACTTGGAGTCAGCTGGCACAATTTCAGGAGCCCTTAAAGAGAAAAGTTAGTTTTAAGTGGTAATGTTCAGAATGTCCTTTACCATGGTCAGTAGAAAGAGCAGATGTGGCTGGCTCTGATGTCTGAGTAGTCTTCCTATACCCATAATTTTATTCATTTTATCAGTTTTGCATATTAAAAAGGAAACTATACCATCCAGTAATACACTTCTTCATATTCCTAACCATTTGGCTACAGTTCAGTCTCGAACTTGGCTTAGATACTCACAACAATCTCAATACTCAAATACGAGATGCTTAAATAAAAAGACCTCAGTATTTTATCTTCAAGTGTATACAAGCTCAGTGGCAATCCCAAAAATAGTTTGAGCAGACCAAACCACCTCCTAAATGCACTTTTTACATTGGCAACAAGTTAAAATCTACCTTTTCTATTCCTAGGATAGTGCTATACAACAACACCTTTTCAAAAACCCAAAAAGAGATGAAACTCATGAATTGGAAATAAATTCTTACATTTAATCTACTCTATAACTATAAAAGATAAGCATCTGTTCAATTCATTCAATAAACTCCATTATGAAAACATCTTCAGAAAAATACGATTCAATGATCAGAAGTCAAAATAATTTAAGGCCTTTACCCATCCTATTATTAATCATGACAAACTATCCCAAATATAGTTTAAACCTTGGAGATCTTACCTTCCCTACATCTTTTATCAGATTGTTAACAACCCAGCTGCTGTGGAAATATAGATCCCCGCAGTCATGAAAAAATATCTGAAGTGACAGATATTTCATTAAGAAAGAAGATCTTGCGATGCAGGACGCACTACTACTGAAAGCATGACGCAAAGACTTAAAGGAACATGTCACAAAGTTATCTTTGGGAAGGTGAGCAGACACGAAGAACAATGTTAAAGATGAATGTGAGTCCAAATTGAGGTAGGGCAGGGAAATTGGACAAGAACTATGCCATTGTAAAATCTAATTTGCCTGCGGAAAAAGGCCCAGCTTGTTCTTTAACTTAATCTATGGGCTATTCTTCCTCTTCTTCCCTCCCCTTCATCAATCAAGTAACTTTGTAACCAAGACAGGAGATAGACCTCCAAAATGTAACGAACCTATGTGGATAAAGAATGTCGAAATCTGGACCAACAGTCACCTAAATAACCGTATTATCTTAAGACAAAACTTCAAAGGAATTGT